TAAGTAAAATGCACAACATAGAAACTTGCTTCTGAGAATTATTAATACGTGATGTTTAGAACTGTTTAAACCGGTTGTATTTAAAATTCGCAATGCTAAATAAATCTCACGTTTGTAAAGTGTTTTACACATGTGTTATGATTAGAAATATACGAATCCTTAGTCTGTATATTAACACTTAATGTACCAACGAATATTATTCGTGTCACATTGATGTTAAACAATAAAAACATTTACATGAAAATGTTTAAAGTGCTTGTCATTTTGCTTTACTAAGAATTCTCACGAAATATACACACAATCATAATTTCCTTTCACTTACTTATGCATAAAGAAGCATATTTTCCTGACAACTTAATAAAAGGGACAGGCATATATATGAAGTAAAAATTTAATTTAACACATGCTAATTGGGATTGCTAGTAACCATAAAAATAAATAATTTGTATCATTATGAATAAAAATTGTATGTTTAATATGTAAGCCCTGTTTGTTTACTATGCGGTAAAACGTAAAAGGGTGTGAGAAGCATTTAATCGAAGAGCTACTGACATGTATAATAATTCATTTCTATTATAGTAATATAGTAAAACCTGTGTAAATCGGAATTGCAATGTATCAAATATGTTTTCGTTAGACATGTTTCCGTTTTATGCAGGTTCTTTTAACGAGAAAGAATAAATTTCCTTCATTACTTGACTCTATAAGAAAGATCCTAACCGAAATAATAATTAATTTAGAAAAAAACGTTCTATAAATCTATCGTGACTACAAGTTACACAAGGAATTCTGCTGTCATTAGTAACAATGGGATATAAATGGCATATTAAAATAATTAATGTTTACATTATTAGAATGAAAATATCACATCACGAAACAATACGAGGCCATTTATTAAATTTTTCTTTGTCAATTAATCAATATTTCTGAAAATGTAAAAATATTATTGTAAGTTTAAAAATATAATTAAATCTATTAAAATATTACATGTTATTTTAATTACATTTAATAATTTAAAATAAATCATTTATAAATGATTTAATTAATTATTATGATTTTAGATTTTTAAATATGTTTACGTATATTTTAATATATGTTTTTGTTTTTTAAATAGAATACTTTTGTAAAACTGTACAATTATTCTTCACAATACAAGACTGTTACTTATTATAAACCATGCCACCTTATACATTATTTTTACAAAGTTATTCTGTCGTTGACCTGAATTTTTTTTCACAGCGTATTGATTACCGTTCGCAGCAACAAATTGATTAATGCACTGAGCTGACATTGATCTAAAATTAGATGTTTACCAACGTTATATATTTATCTAACGTTATTATACTCTCCATTTCTACGTTAAACCAACTTCGTATTTCCTGATATCATTGAACGTGCTTCACAATATATATTATTGTATCGATCAGGATAAAAGTATTGTTCCTCAATCCATTTACTTAAGTAAGTTTGTTTCTAATGATATTTTTTACTTATTTTCATTTTCATTACATTTCCGGATATGTTATATATAAAAGTGGGAAAGTATGGAGATCTGTCAAAAATAAATCCTTCCCCCAAAGATTTTCATATTTTTGGATTCTGACAACTTGGAACGTCGAGAAATGCAAAAACCTAAGTTTTTTGTATATATAGACGTTAGTGTATGTCGGGGGCACGATTTTGTTCACCCTATTTAAAGCTTAATAAGTCCTGTAATTTTTGTAAATAATATCTGAAATTTTGCAAGGTAGTTTGTTTTAGGGAGATTGTTGCTATTAGGTTTTTGTGATTAAAGATTCAGAGGGTAGGGGGATAGAGGGGGTCGTGTGTATCGCTAGTAAGATCGGACTTAACGACAATTTTACATGTTACTCTGATTTCTCATTTTATATAGAACGAATCTCTTCCTTTAAAAATTAAGATTTTTGCCATTTTCAATAAAAACAGTAAACTGATAATCATCTCATATAATATTTTCTGATTAAAGATTTTTTTGATATTGAGCACGAGGTATATAAATTTCATTCAATTTCATCAATATATAAATATATATATTTTTTTTTTATTTATGTAGTACATTTATTTTTACTGTTATTCTTTAACTATATATATTGTATTTATCGTATACATAAATACTAATTACAGAATTTTAAGTATCGTAAATGGAGTAAGAAAGAAATATAAAAAAAGTAAACTTATGAAAATAAAAAAAAACATACACAAAAAAATATATATATATAACATTATTACATATAATGCATGGAGTAATAATGTTATACTACACATAAAATTATTACACTGTAAAAGGATACAATTAAAAAATAAGAATTATAAGAGTAATAACACAAATTATCACTAAAAATGATAAAGAAAAAATTCCAGCAACGGGTTGCTTAAATTTTCCGTCAACATTTGGTGACGCCATCTGTTATTATAATTTATTTTAAAAGTTTTATATGTTTACCTATTATAAAATAGCAAAAAGTTTAATTTAGAAAATAGAGAGGAGTTTTTTAAAACATGTAAATGCTAATAACAGGTAAAATCGTCGTTGATCCTGATTACACTACAGATACACGCGACCCCTTTTATATCCTTGTTGATCTTTAAACACTAACATTTAATAGTATCAATTGCTTTAATAAAGAAACCTTCTTGCGAAATTTCAGAAATTTCCGACAAAATGCACAGGAGTTATTGAACTTTACACAAGAAGAAAAAAATCGTCCCCCATACACTGACATCTATACATACATCAAATACCCCGTACTTTTTTGCATTTCTCGACCTTTCAGTGTGTCCTAAGTACAAAAATGTAAAAATCTTCATGGGTCTTTTCTTGACCACCGAAGCTTTTTACATTTGACGTTTTTACGGATCGCCATACTTTTCCTCTGTTATATATAACAGCAGAAAAATAAAATCACAACAGTCTTTATAGTTCGACAAGTCCAGTAATATGACTTTGTACAATAACCTGTAAATTGTTGTATTATAAAATATGGTGATTTGTTTTTGTATGTACTCTACATCTATTCTTTTATCATAAATTACAAACAATAGCCTGAAAGATCGGGCTATAATTCGGCTAATTAAATTATTAAATAATATAAAATAATTTGTCCCTAGAGAGAGGCGTTAGGCACTAAATTAATATACTTCTGGAAGCGAAGACTTGTTCGGGGTCAGGGTAGTGCAACTGGAAAACGCATCACATGGGCAAGCAGAGGTCGAAGATTCAAGCTCCTTCCACCTTGCGGTTCTTTTATTCCAGAAGGTTCTAAATTATTTATTAATATATTAAAAATTATAATTATTAATTTAGTTAAGAGATGGTACCTAACGCTTCCCTCTAGTGACAAATTACTTATATTAATCATTTAATTAGCCGGATTATAGCCCGATCATTCAGGCAATCGTTGTTAATTATATACCCATCGGGCTTAGAAATGTTTATTATTTATATTTTTAAATCAAAATCCAGTTAGCCGACATTCTCCGGTCCAATATACAGTAGCGCGTCGATTATCCGAAAGTCAATTATCCGAAACGTGAATTATCCGAAAGAATTCCAGTCGGCAAATTTAAATTTTCGCTAGTGCTGTAGCACTGCAATCTTTGGCTGTCTTGGGCTAATCAAATATTTTACGTTTTTGATACTAAATTAACTTCTGAAGTAAAATTTTTTATCGTTTTTATATTTTTTCAATATATTTATTTTGTTTGTACAAAATAAAAAAAAAATTTTAACGATACAATAGTCTTAGTTAGGCTTAACATCGACGACAAATTCAACGCGAAGTGACACGCAACGGAGAAAAATTTTAACATCGGATACGTTAATACTATATTTTTTCGCTAATCCAAAATATCAGTTATCCAAAATATCAGTTGTCCAAACCATTCCAGTCTCAATTGATTCGGATAATCGATGCTTTACTGTATTTTAAATTACGGAAAATTTGCTGTATTTATAATACAATTACAATATTATATAAAATTTAAAATAATTTTGTTAAAGTGTATTCTACGATTTGTTTACCTTATTAAATAAATTATATTTTAAATTTACTAGCCGAGAACAAGTTCAGAGAAGAGTTGTTTGGATATTCGTTCAATTAGGAGTTAAAGGATCTCTGTAATAAATATGCTTATGCTCAAAGCAATTTTAATAATTTCTATATGCCAAATATTTACAGAAACAAGTAAGTTTAATATAACATTTTAAAATTAAATTGTTTTATTATGATAATATTTATGTGTTTGAATTCATATTCAGTTTGCAGATCATCTTTTAATTTATTTATACTGTTGCAGCTGTTATATATAACTGAGGGTGATTGAACAAAAGTGACCCTCGCAGATTTTTATACTTTTAGACTCAGAGAACACTGAATCGACAAGAATTGAAATAAAATTCGGGGATAATCTTTGTATGTATGGATATTCGTGTGTGGGAGAAGCAGGGGTTTTTTTCACTCTATTTAAAGCTTAAGTTCTTCGCCTTTTGTCGAACATTTTTGAATTTTAGGGAGATTTGATTATTAGTTCAATTGATGCCGTTACATTTTGATGATTAATGGTGAAGGGGTGAAAAGATAAAGACAGTGGTGTGTATTTATAGTAGGTCAGAATTAATAAATAATTTACTCGTTATTAACATCTACAAATGTTTATAACCTATCCCTACCCTAAAAATTAAGGTGTTTGCCATTTTCTAATAGCTAAAAATTTAAAAACTTTAAAATAAAATATGATAACAGATGGAGCTACTAAATGTTGCCAAGAAAGTTAAGTAACACGTTTCTGCATTATTTAAAATCGAATGCCAGGCTCATGACGCTTTACTGTGTAAAATTTCCGTTGTTTTCGTATAATTAACCGAAACACGTTTTTTTTACAGTTTTTTAAATGATTTTTCATATTATAATGTACAAAAAATTATTACTAATCTTTTTAAAGATTTAATTGTTAAATTATTTTTGGTAAATTTTGATTAGGTAAAGCAATGTGCAAAAATAAAAGTGAAGTAAGAATTGTTGCTGCTGAGGTGCGTGTTATTATTATTAAAACTTTAGTAATTACAATGAGTTAATTAATTTTTATGTTTATGTTATAGTTACCAATTTATGTTGTAACGGATGAAGAGGGCAATGAAGTTATCGATGGAGTTGACTTTCATACAGTTAAATTGATGTTTGAAAAATTAAAATGTGTCCGGTGAGAGAATATAAATATTGACAGCTATGTTTTTTTTTTTTTTTTTAAATTAAATTACTAAATAAAACTAATGGTAATTCTTTTAAGATATGAAATACTTCAACCTGTAGAAAAAGTCTTCGGGACAAAACTCGAGAATGGATCCTGGAATGGGTTACTTGGAAAACTACAACGACAAGTAAGATTATATAACGAAAATAATAATTATCAAACGTAATGAAATTAATTTTTTTTATTGAAGGAAGCTGAATTTAGTTTAAATTCCTTATACGTTACCTACGAGAGTTACCAGGTTGTGGATTTTACACTTTCTTTTGGCTCTGATGAAGTTACGTTTATAGTATCTGCTCCTAAAAAGGCTTCTAAATTAACAACAATATTTATACCTTTTACAAGTACGGTAAGTATATAAACATTTAAATATTTCAATAAATATATTTTTATTATTTTACAATGGTTATTTTTAAATACGATAGTATTTTAATTTTATCTTCAGCAACACGGAAATAGTAATAAATTTATTTGTACTTTGTTTATATACATGAAATTTAATATAAATTTAATTTCAGGTTTGGCTGTTTGTTTTTGTAAGTATATTTGTAACAGCAATATCACTGCATTTCCTATATTCAAAGAAGCAATCTTATATTCAAGGAAGCGAAAGACCATGGTTCATCAGTAAAATATTTTGGTTTCTATTTGAAACTTTAATGGCTCAAGGTAACAATTGTCAAAAAGCAATATATATATATCGATATGTGTGTGTGTATGTGTGTGTTGGTTTTACTTTATATTCCACGAAGTTAAAACAAAGAAAAATTTACGTAATTTTAATAATGAATAATTCTACATTTTTCTTCGTAAATATTATTATTTTTTTCTTTGAGAACTTGATGCATTGTAAATATTATAACTTTCAGAAAGCACAATGAAATATTTCATTCTTGTATATAGGCAATAATGTAATTATACAGAAGCCTTTACAAAACTGATACAAAAATTATAACTATAAAAGTATTAACACATATCTTGCTAGCTTCAAACTGCATAGTATTTTCACAGAAAGTTCGAGTAAACTTCACAAATGTAATTTAAAACTGAATATCAGGAGTGTGAAAAATGAGTATTGAATTCACTTTTCAATTGGCAACGTATCGTAAAATACCTGTTTCACTATGATGAGCTTGTTTATGATTGAAAGTAATTAATCTTTTGTATGAAACTCAGTAATGTGATTGTGCTATTATGTTAAATTACCCCAAATTATGTTTCTTTCTCTAGATTTGACCTTCTAACTTTAGCGTTCTGAATGAATCGTCTGTTTTCCAAAGTTTTCTTTTAAAGACAAAACAGGTGTTAATAGCATCGCGACAAATTCAGAATATACATATGGTAATTTAGAATTTTTCATCCAAGTTTGTTGAATAAAACATATTTTACGAATATAAAACAAACCTAGTTTATTTGCCATTGCTGAAATTCTCAATAATGGTATATGTTCATAATTTATTATGTTAAAATCTTTTATATAAATTATAAAATATAAAAGTGAAAAAATAATTGATTTGAAAACATTGTATCAAGGCAATAATCAAATCTACTAGTAACCATCCACTAGTTTGAATGGTTAACAGAAAAATGTCTTTCATAAAAATATCTATTATGCCTTACAATTCAGTACGAAATTATAGTTATGATGTAACGTTTGGTATGTTTATTAGTAATTTCTGCTGACAAATAAAATGTAACAAATGCAATATTTTAGTCGTATTGGAATACCCACATCGTTTGAAATATTCAAAACATAAAATTATAACAAATGACGAACATTATTGGTTGTCACTATATACAGTTATGCACAGTCACAAACAATAATGCAATGCAATATGTTGTGTGATTAGTTTAATAAATCTATAAAATGAAACACATGTTATCAGAATCAATTAAGTGCTCTCTATTAATGAACAGACTTTCAGAAACATCCTGTTGTATGCGATTTACACTATCAGCAAAATATTTCGAAACAGAGTCACTAATTAAACTATTTATCATATCTACATTATTATTTGGGTAGTATATCAAGGCACGGATTGTCTTGTCCGCGAGAGCAAACAGATCATTAGCAGCTTCGCAAATTTTAATTTTGTGTTCTTTACGAACAGTAGTGCTGAGTATCTAATAAACAGTTTGCCAGAACAATGTCCAGAAGCTCCCTAAGCTTTGTACTGACAGCTGAGGCGTTCGGGCCTGGACTCTCAGCACCAGTGGCAACCGAAGTGGATTAACACGTAATCTAGAAAGAACTCTTAAAACTAACAAAATCTATACTAAAAATTATCTAACTAATACCTAAAACCTGAAAAATACTCAAAAATGTTAAATAACCAGAAAGCCTCGAAAATACTGCAATGCAATATGAACGAACGATCATCGGAAGTTCAAACTAGCAGGCGAAAATAAACACCTAACATACTAACAAATTATAAAGAGAAAACTAGCTAATATAATAACGTGAGATAAAACGAACTAACTAAAGGACACCCTAAACACAAAGAAACTTGACTATAAAGAACCTTATTTATCTCATCCTAATTAAATGGCTAACCTCGAAAAAACTACGGGAAACCCATGAAAAATGGAAATTTCAAAAACACTGCTATGCACTAAAGCAAGAAAAAGTCGAAAATCTCGAAAACTACTAATTCTAGATTCACGAAACTAACAGTGTAAGCTAATAACCTAAATATCTAACTACAAGGAAGAAACCACCCTACAAGATCGACTTAGGGAGATTACTAGAATGAAGAAAGTTGCGAAAAGTTTATGATACAAAACATCCACAATTGATGGATTAGTCAAGGGTTACAGACAAGATGCAAGCAAACGGGATAACAGTGAAAAGAGGTTTAATAAGTTTACGTATAACAGGAATGTAGAGGGAGAAATTATGTAAATATAAAAACAAGAGAACGGTATGTAAACGAGCGCCAAACATCTACAGATTGCTAAGAAATGATAAGGACGAAGTAAGAATGATGGAGAAGGCTGGGGTTTATAGAATTCCTTTTGAAAATCAGTAGTTAGGAGTGGCAAAGGATTATGTGGGTGTCACCACAAGAAATTTGGCAGTACGTATAAAAAAGCACATGTATGACGTTAGTAAAGGACACAACAACATCATTTTGGCAATCATGGCACAAACGAAGGGAGCAAATGTAAAATGGGATGAGGCAAGAATAATTAAACCGGTCCATTCTCCGACGATTGCGTTGGGTATGGAGAAAATGGAGAAATATAAGAGTAAAGTAAATAACAATTGCTTAAATGCCAAGGACGCTAATACTCTTCCAACGGCATGGAAATACGTGATAGAAAAGGAAATGGGAATTAAATACCCTTAAACTTGTGGCGGTGTATTTTAACTCGTTTAATGTATATTTTCGTTATATTAGTTTATTTTTACATTTGTTTAATTATAAATTATGTTAGTATTTTGTTAAATATTTAATATTTTACAGTTTAATGTAAAGTTTTTAAAAATATGTTTTAAATTTTTTTTTAATTTAAAGAGTGTTCGAAAAGCTTTGTGTTCGATTGTAGAACAAATACCTGAGGATGGCCTATTAGAAATAGACTGAAAGCGTTTGAGTATTAAATTAATAGTAAGCTCAGCAAGTATTTGGTGTTTGATTATATTTGAAACTTTGTTTAATTAATTAAAATCGGTGTAATGAATGCTCTTTCATGTTTGTGTAGTAGACCCCAGGTGAAAATTACTGCTACTTTACGTCATAACAATACAAAAAATTAGTTAAATATTTCAGTTATTTATATAAAAGACATATGATCGATGATATTTAAAAGTTTCTTAAAATAACTTACACAAAATATTTTGTTTCCATGTCTTTTGAATATATTCAATAAAATAGATAATACTTATTTATTATTGATTAATTAATTAATAATAACAAATAAAATTCCGTTATTATGTTAGATATATGACAACAAATCATTATCCCAGTATAATAATTTAAAACAAAATTTCACAGGCGGTGAAATAAATCACGTCAGAAGTAATACTACAAGAATCATCATTGGTGCATGGTTATTAATAACAGTAGTTCTTATATCAGGATATTGTGGAGTTCTGTTTTCTTACATGACTTATCCTGTGTATGAAACCGTGCCTAGAACTATTGAAGAACTTGCAACTTCTGTGAGAAAAGGAATATATTCCTGTGGAATAATGACTGATACCGTTGTTGATAATTATCTTTGGGTAATACTATTAAATAATTATATTTTTAAGTTATAAGATCGGTATTTATACAAAATGTTGACTAATGCTAGAGAATCCAAGAAAACCTAAATCTACCTAGAATTTTCAAACAAGAAACTTTATTCTCTAATGTATTTTATACACACAAATTAGGAATAAAAAATACTCGAAATACTCGACAACCGTACAATATTTTGAGTATGAAAATTATTCCGTAGGTTTAAATGTATTAGATGAGTACTGTGACAGCAATATACTAATAATATTTTTTAAATTGAAGTATTGAATACACAGGGTAATTTAACTATGCGTGTACAAACATCTGGGAAGGGTAAGTTGCACGAAGACAAATCTGAATCGTATAGCAATGCAGGACCGGAAACGCCATCATCATGTGGTAGATAGAGTTGCACGGCTGCGAGACTGTTGATACATTATTTCAGGATATTGTTATTTGTAAACTGCCGACAGCAGTAGTAGTATCGCTGAGTTCACAAACGTGGAGTTGGTTGATATGCTCCTCGCTTAGGGAGCAACGAACTGCAAGGTTGAACTGTTGTGAGTCTGTACCTATGAGAAGTGTGCCAAATCACCAAGTATTTGCACAACTTCATCAGAATTTATGTGACACTAGTTATTTCCAGAGACCTGCAAGTTGTCGGGAACGATAAGAAACCACTGACGACACCAAACATAATGTTAACAGTTATTTTAATGTTATATAATGTTATTTTAAGTCGTGCCAGCACACGACCAATTGCCCTTCTGCTTCGTCTGTCCCAAACCACTGTATGGAGAGTTCTTCACGAAAACCGATTGTGTCTATTTTATAAGAAGCGCATTCAGACACCAAGGCAAGAGGATTACCCTCAGCGCATTGCATTTGCGTAATTCTACTTGCAGAATTTCCTGCCTTTGTGCTTTCCACAGACGAAGCATGCTTTACATGGGAAGGTAGCTGCAAAGTACATACATAATGCGTATGCATGGGTAGTGGACAACATTCATACATACGCATTATATACCATACAACACAAAACTGGTTTGCTATGAATGTTTTGGCCGGCATTGGTGAAGACCAATTAATTATCATACACTTCTTGTTTCTGTGTCCAGACAGGTGGTATTGAATAATTCTGGAGGACGTCTTGTTAAAGATAGTGCAACAACAAGATTCAGAGTCGCTGCTTCATAAGATATAGTTCCAGAACGAAGAGACCAACACCCATTTCAGTAATGACAAAACATGACATTTTGATCGCAGTGGATCGAGTGTGATAGTCCCGTTCATTGACCTGCAAAATTGCCGGATTCAACATTAATTTTTGAGGGATTACGTCAAAGAACAGATGTCGACACCTCCGTTGAATGCAATGAAGACCTTATAGCACG